TTGACTGGAATACAAATTTGAAGTGGGTTGATACAGAATTCAACTGCGGAGGATCTGTCAGGAAGCAAGCAGTGAGGAAACTCAAGATGTTAAGGAAACTAAGGAAACAGTGCCTGCCTGAAGGAACATCATGAGTTGGACCATGATTTTGTTCTTATGTACTTGCAAGCAACACTGTGACACAAATACAGAAGACCTTCGTCGCATCACAAGGCAGACATTGTGGCTAGGCATGGATACCATGGCTCTGGATTCAGGATGTGGCCTAGTAGTTCACGTGCGAAAAAGCTACCTACATGGTCCCTCCCAAGATCTTCCCCTTACTTTTTAAATGGAATGCATTTTTAACTCTTGAGCTTTGCATTGTATTGGTTGGCTGCAAACTGCTTCACAGTTGGGGATAACGGGAAGTGGTAGAGTAAGCCATCATGATCATAATTTGTCCCTTTCCAGGTGTTTCAGAACTACAACTCCTAGCATCTCTTATCTGGTGAGCAGGAGCTGAGAAGAGTTGTAGATCAGCAACATCTGAAGGTCCACAGGTTGACCACTTTCATAATAAGGCAAAAAACCCATGATGATAATGCACTGATTGTATGATCCCGAAGCTGGCTAGATGACATCTCCATTTTTCACTTCCTGTATCTCACTCAGTGGTGGGATTCAGCCGGTTCGCACCAGTTTGGCAGAACCGGTAGCTAATTTTTTGTTGCCCAGCTGACCCAGAATGGACTTCCGGAAGCGGCATCCATTCAGAGAACCGGTTGTTCACCTATTTGAATCCCACCACTGATCTGACTGTAGGGTATCTAAGGCTACTTGGAATTGGTCGCCAACTGCATTTTGCGGGCTATTTTTTGGCTTTTACTTCTAAAAAGCTATTTCATAAAATAACAGGAGACAGCCGGGCTCTCAGCATTTCCATAATCTTTGGAGGAAGCTGTTCTTGGTCACTTTTCTTTCTCTGAAGCTCTGTTGTTATTGGAATGGTTTGGCATCGGAGACGTGGCCCTCAATTGCTTATTATTTTTAATGATGAATTGTGGAGGCCAAATGGAAGATGTTCAGGACTTATTAGGGACAACAGGATGTTCCAAGCAAAGGCTCTTTTGATCTTATTCATCATCGCTGAGAACTGGAGAGCACAGCTCTGATAGGATAATTTGCCTGTGAGGTAAAAGCTTGGAAGTAGTTCGTTTCTTTTTGTTTTTCTTTTCGTTCTTTTTTTAAGATGTCAAGGTGACACTGAAGATCAAGTCAGCCTAGTGGCCTGTTGCACTTATGAGATGGAAGCAAAAACAACTTTAGGCAGCTGGCTGCTCCAGACATTAGCTCAGTTCCGCTAGGTATAATAAGTTGGTCAAGCTGCCTTGGTGACTTGATCTGTCTAGCTCACCTGCTTCACAGCTGAAAAATGAAGCTGGAGGTGTGTTGATAAAGAGTTGCAGAGATCCAAAATGATGCTCCTTATACTGGCTTGAAGTATTTTTCTTTCCTCTGCTCAGTGGCACAAAGACCAGCTTCAGGAGGTATTTTATAATATAATAATAAAGTTGGAAGGGACCTTGGAGGTCATCAAGTCCAACCCCCTGCTCAGGCAGGACACCCTATACCATTTCGGACAAATGGCTGTCCAGTCTCTTCTTAAAAACTTCCAGTGTTGGAGCATTTACCGCTTCTGGAGGCAGGTTGTTCCACTGATTAATTGTTCTGACTGTCAGGAAGTTTCTCCTTAGTTCTAAGTTGCTTCTCTCCTTGATTAGTTTCCATCCATTGCTTCTTGTCCTGCCTTCAGGCGCCTTGGAAAATAGCTTGACTGCCTCTTCTTTGTGGCAGCCCCTGAGATATTGGAACACTACTATCATGTCCCCCCCCATCTTTGGAAGCTCCAATTATATCTCAGCCAGAGGTGCTTAAGTAACATTATTTTCCGAGCAAAATACGAAGAAGCTGAATCAGTGTGGAACAAAAGACAGGGAGTAATATTTATTTATGAAGCTCAGCTGGATAAAATCAGGCTATCTTAAAAACCACCCAACATGGGCAGATTTACATTCTCAGTGGACATGGCACGCATCTTTCTCTGCTTTTCTTCACTATTCGTTTATTTCTCTGGCTCAAGGCAGATTTTTCCATTCCTTGGGATGGACGAGAACCAAGACCTGTGTCTCAAACTCACAGAGACCTTTCCAAATGTAGCTGTAATATTTAGTCAGTACAATACAGGCCCTGGATCAAATCCTGGAGTGCCTGGGCCCCTGTTGAGGGTCTTAGGAATCCATATAGAACACACCATTGAGGGATATCTTGGGCCTCCCATGCGGAAGAAATATATTCAGACACTCCAAATGACGGACATAGATAAGATAAGGTAACCTTTATTGTCACTTTTTTTTACTGTGGGCACAACGGCACACATCAAAAATAACATTTAGTTGCCCGCTCTCAAAGTGAAACACATACATGACACACACCTAAACATACTATGTACAACAGTGTTTCTCAACCTTGACAATTTTAAGGCATGTGGACTTCAACTCCCAGAATTCCACAGCCAGCATCGCTGGCTGTGGAATTCTGGGAGTTGAAGTCCACATGCCTTAAAATTGTCAAGGTTGAGAAACACTGATGTACAACATATGTATAGACCCCCACCCCTACATATACATAACAAATAAATATTTAAATACTGTCCATCTTGAATAGATAACAGAAGGAGGAAGCTTGAGAGTTCACAAGGTTAATTCTGTATGGAATGAAACTGTGGCTGAATCTGGATGTTCTGCTTCAGATACCACGAAGCCCCCTCCTCCCAGAAGGGAACAAGGAAAACAGGTCGTGAAGAGGTTGTGTAGTGTCCCAGATAATCTTACGGACCCTGCTCAAGCAACGCTTCTGTACTATGTCCTGGATGGGAGGGAGGGAGCTGACATTTCTCTAAAAGCATGATAGATGATCAACTTTGGCCAACGTTCTTTGAAGATTTATTTGACTTCAATTCCCATAATCCTTAGCAGTCTAGGATCATGGGAGTGAAGTCAAATTTCGTAAGAGAGCACCAGGTTGGGAAAAGCTGGCTAGTCCTAAGCTACTACTTGGCTTGCGTGTTCCTTCAACTAAAACCCATACATTTGACCCCAAAAGAATGCAAAAATGGTTCAGCACCTGTGCTAGAATGGATTGCCGTTCGTCAATAGCTCAGGCTATGCTAAAAAGCCAAGTCTGGAAAACCAGACACTCGCCTCTGGATTCTTAAGCTGGGATTGCGTCTTGGTGGTTGTTTTAAGAGCAGTGGTTCTTGTGAGATGCAACTTAGGGAAAAGTGGCATGCAACACAGCTTAGCTTTGTGCGAGGAAATCTGGATTCCCTTTTCTATAACTGGAGAAAATTGTTCCCATGAAATGAAAGCCAAAATGAGCCCAAGTTTTTTTCTCTGTGGCTTCATGTCTGCCTCTCCTGGCTTCTAACATACCCATCTAGAGTCTTGGTATTACATCCCCAGGAACTTTGGACTAATCTATATCAGGGCTTCTCAATCTTGGTGCCCTGAAAATGAGTGGACTTCAGTTCCCAGAATCCTTGGAGATGAAGTTCACACATCTTTAACTTGAGACCCTTCCCCCCCCCCACAGTATCCAACCAACAGCACAGAGGCACGGAAGGACCTGCTCTTATTTTATCACCTAATAAAACTGGGTATTTTTTTTAAAAGTGACCCAGGCAAACGTCAGTGTGCAATAAATTGTTGCTGACTGTTGATTTGGTCTGCTCAGCACAGATACTTCACTCCCGTTGCTTTCTTTCTTAGCATACATTGGTTTTTTTTATTTTATAGCATGCAGCCCCGAAAGTCTGTCTGTCTGTCTGTCTTTCTTTCTTTCTTTCTTTCTTTCTTTCTTTCTTTCTTTCTTTCTCTGTCCCTCCCTCCCTTCCCCATTTCAACCCCTCCCTGTTTCTCTCTCCTACCTTCCTTCCTCCCTCTCTCCCTCCTTCCCCATTTCATCTCCCTCCCTGTTTCTCTCTCCTACCTTCCTTCCTCCCTCTCTCTCTCCTTCCCTCCTTCCCCATTTCATCTCCCCCCCTCTCTCCCTGTTCCTCTCTCCTTCCTTCCTTCCTTCCTCCCTCCCTCCCTTCCCCATTTCAACCCCTCTCTGTTTCTCTCTCCTACCTTCCTTCCTACCTCCCTCCTTTCCTCCTTCCCCATTTCATCTTTCTCCCTCTCTCCCTGTTCCTTCCTTCCTTCCTTCCTTCCTTCCTTCTTTCCTTCCTTCCTTCCTTCCTCCCTCCCTCCCTCCCTCCCTCCCTTCCCCATTTCAACCCCTCTC